TTAATATTTTTTTGTTACTATTTAATTTAATAATATTTTTTTGTGGGATTGATACATTTAAATAAAAAAGGACAGCACGTCCTAACGCCAGATCAACTAAATGTCTGTTGAACTAATAAATAGGTTTTTATGGAACCTAAAATAGAGATTCTAATGGCAATCACATCTCGCGATAGCCGAAATTATCAACGGTTCACTTATTCGAATCGTGAGTAGTCTGAAAAAGATCAAAGTCAATGACCGCAAAAAAAGTGCACGACTCACCTTGCTCAAACCGAAACTTGCTTACTCCAAAACATTCGACACCCCACGGTGCATCACAACACGAGAATAACCTACAATAACACCTTTTAACATATGCTTATCGATTCTTTTATCACTTCTTATCTACAACACATCAATAAAAATGGTCTCCACACGCGAAAAAATATTACTAAGTATAAATACTAATTTTTCAAATTCTATGTCTCACATGTCACTTTTCCCGCCCAATACCTTATTATTTTTTTAAACGAGTTCGAAGTTTAAAAAGTTTTGTTTCGTTAACGGCCAGCGTTATGACGACAGGCATGAATTCTCCGCGGGAGTTGGCGCTGTACTGAACTGCGGCGGCCCGGTCAAGTGAGAGCGCACATTGTGTCATCAGTTCTTGCCGTATTCCAGCTAAGCACACATGTGTGGGTAGATAAATAAATACTTGTTACTTCTGAAGATTGGTCTTATACTTCATAAGGTGCAATGACTCGAATGGTGAAGATGACTTACAATCGATTTTCAAGTTATTAATCAGACCGGGTCGTTTTCCAAATCCTTAATTTAATTTGTCGTTGCTTCTGAAAATCTTTTGGTTGTGCAAATAGTTAGCATCGCGCGATGCAAATGTTTTAAAGTTTTGTCAAATGAAGCAACGAAGTGTTGTCGTTATAATAAAAAAAATGGTGTTGCTATTTGCTATCGCCAGTACCGTGGGTAACTGATATTTAATTTATCAAAACAAAATTAAAAGTGAAGTAGCAAGGTTAATTCTAAACATGGTCCAATTTTAAGTGGCCACAAAAGATAAAAGTATTTGATAAAATAATACTATTGATATCAGAAGATTGTAACACCTGTTCAGCTATATGACTAATACCTAATGTATTTTAAAAGAAATCATTAGATGGTTTAAACACTTGGAAAGGCGGAAGATAGTGGAGATCAATCAAATTCTTTATTTTCAAGTAGACCACAACAGGCACTTTTGAACGTCAATCACATTATCACTTCACATCATTAGCCTATAAGTATTACCCCTTGCTGACCAAAGACCTCTTCTTACACGGAGAAGGTTGTCACATAATCATCCTGTATGTGCCCCGTGCTGAGCAAAGGCCTCTTCCCCCACGGAGAAGGTTTCAGCATTAATCACCACGCCTTCTGAAGGCGGATTAGCGATTTTAAATTTATAATTAGAAATTTTAGTCCTGGTTTCCGTCAGTCACGAAGTAAGTCAGTGGTTTCTAAATAATCATAGTCTGGTTTCGAGCCCTAATACATGAGATGCGAGCGCCTTAACCTCCGGACCATCACGAGATCACGATTTACGAAAGGGGAAAAGATAATATATCATATTGATTTATATGATAATATATTGAGTGATGGTAATCCTACTAATGTTATACACAAAAGTTTGGAAGTCGATAGAAGGATAGATTTTTGTTACTCTCTCACGTGAAATCATCAATCATCAAAATCCATTCAGTAGGGATTTTGATGAACAGTTACAAGAAAACGTGGGCGGAGCCGGTAGCAAGAGTAAACATCTTATGCACTCAAAGATGTGGAATCTTAACTTTAAACGTTCAATTGTAGTTATAATAGACATAATAGTAAGGCAATAGGTCATAATAGTTAAAGACATAATAGTAAAGACATAATAGTAAGGCAATAGGTCGTGAACGCCGGCGTTCGCTTCATGTTTGATGAATTAACTGTTTCCCATATCAAAGAAATGGAAACTAACTCAACGATCAAACTGACGGAAAGTAAGATAAAAGAAAAAGTGCCTCTGTTACCAGCTGAGGAATTTCCATATCAGTTAGAGATGAAAGAAAGACGTAAGTATGTAGGAACTTATCACATTCTCCCTTATCATCAGATTATCCTTTCATAGTACTTGAGATAAAAGATCAGAAATTTGGTAAGAAAGATCCAGAGGTATAAAAATGGCTGGAGTCTAGACAACTGGGCCTCTTGATATTTAAATTTAGAAGTGATATTTAAATTTTTTTTTTACTTCACGAGTTTTTCAATCAGAAAAAAAATAAAAATGGAAACAATGTTTCTGACGATAGGGCTGTCAGATTGTTACAGGTTAAAACCAGCTTGGTATCACGGCTCACACGTTGGACTTAATGCATATAAAAATTCTCTAAACTAATAGGTTGTATATATAGGTATCTATGAGATTAGAGAAGTTCGTAGATTTGAATTTATCCTTACTGAATATTAATCTACTTAGATGTTGTTTTCAATTATTCAATAAACATTGAGTAAATTTATCTCATTACTGCGATGCTTGTCGCCCAAGAAGATACGTTGAAAAATGGTCACAAACCTTTTGACACCAAATGTTACAAATTTCTAATCATAAATTGTATTGTCGTCATAGTCGGGCAATATTATGTAAATTACCTTTTTATTATCTTTGCGCCTCATTACTTATCATTTATCTAACGAAATTAAGATTAGATTTCGTGATATCCAGTATTTAGGCGCTGATTAAGCATTTATACTTAGAATATTTTATTGGTACAATAAATACTGAGTAATTGTAGGTACAGTTTCATACACATTAATTATAAAGGTATAATTTTTCATTATAATGATTCAATGCTTGAATTATTTGTGTAGAAATGTCGTATTGAAGATGGCGTTCCTCAGGGCACAATAATGGGGCCATTCAAATTTAAAAAACAAATCAGCATTGTCTTTTTATTACAATTGCGTCTTGTTTCTACGTTGCATTATAGATCGAGTAAGTAAAATGATGTTAGGATGGACCCATTGTCTTTTTCCTTTTAAAATATTTTAATCTCGAACAATCATGAAGATGCCAGCTTTGAAGACAATTAACAGAAAATTCTCATTAAAAGCAAGTATGGACTTAATGCTAACCTTTTGAAATAAACATGGAAAACAATGGGTCTTTTAAATACACCGAACATTAAAAAGTTTAAGTGACTCGTATATTGCGCCGTCTTCATCGAAGTTATCTTCTTTTTAGTCCATATTTTGCCTGTGTCGGTCGTAATTTAACGGAAAGATGTTTTGAGACCTGACATTAATAGTATTGACAACAGGGTGCTCTGATTGAGAGTGTATTACTTTTATTAGTTATTATTTGATCTGAATTCTTAAAGCACTTGTTCTAGACACCTGCTTAAGCTATATACTTATACTTCTACAAAATATGATACAAATCAAATAAACTAATTTAAATTTGAAACCAGACAAAGTATAAAAGTTCAGAATCGAATCGTAAATCAATAAGAAGCGGACCGCTGTTTACAAACGATACCATATAATGTGGTAGCCTCAATGAGCCAATACGAGATATTCACCAGTCTTCAATTAAAATAAATTGATGACATTCTACAGTTGCGTTGTATTTGTGGTGATTGAATGCGTGTGCGCATAACAACTCAGTTTCTTCTATTACGTCAGGTCAAACGTTGATTTTATTGTAACGTATGTACGTGTATCATCGCACTATTGTCGTAAACGATGAAAGAGTAAGTTTACTGTAGCAATGTCATAATAAATTTCAATGAAAATATCAAAATCGAAAAGCTCCATAATATGTAGCCCGACTTGGTCACACAAACCCATATGTTATTCAACCAATAGCAGTTGTAGTTAATAATAATTAAAGTAAGTATAAAGATCAGGTTTCAGAGAGAGAGGAGGCAGAAATTGTTTGGTTGCATTTCTTGGGCTTATTAAAGGCGTTCGATATTCAAATTTCAAAATGTCCTTTTTATTCCGTTTTAGTAGATAATTATAAAAGATCAGTAGGCCTACCATGACGTGTTTAATCGTGAATCTTCCGGGCGATTTGATCTTTGGTCTTTTATAAATAGGCCCTCAGGTTTAAATAAAATTTTGTGACCGATATTTTTGGTAGAATCTCTTTTGCTTGTTCGATGTTTGAAAATTTCAAAAATTCCTTACCATTCCTAGAGATCCTATAATGATGTGCAAACAATCGAAACGAAATCTATAAAATAGGTGCTATCGAAATAATTGCAACAAGACCTTGAAATGATAATAGCGTAGATACGATAGCAACATTGCTGTAGCGACTAGCGACATACTAATTATATTATTCAAACTAGCGACCTGCCGGTTCCGCAAGAGTGCAATGCTCATACTAAATTTCTCCAGTATTTAATGTAGGTATGTTATTATACATATAAACATTCCTCTTCAATCACTCTATCTATAAAAAAAAGCAATAATTCTGTTGCGTTAGTTTTAAAGATTTAAGCACACATAGGGATATAAGGACAGAGAAAGCGACTTTGTTTTATACTACGTAGAAATTATAAAGTCCACTGCATCAACGTTATATAAGGTAAGTACCTTAATAATCGAAAGATATAGTGTCGATAAATACTAAATATTTTTTAGTAAACGCAATCCAAATTATTTATCGCTTACGTAAACACGTTTATACGTGATAATAAATGTCTTTCGTGATAAAATATATACCTAATAAGGTAACATATGATTTGAAACGGATCCTCCAGGTTTTTGAAGGAAGAAAGAAAATTTTTGGAGGCGTCACATTTGTAGTGGGCCATTATTATATTGAAATTTATCCTTTTTCGACGGCGCCAAAATGTTTTATGAAAATATAAAAGTCACCGTTTTTTTTCATTCTTCTTAGGTATTTTAAATTGTGCGATTTTTTATTTGTAGCCTTTCAGGAAATCGCAGTAAAAAAAAATTGTACTCACTCATTCATGTTCTTTAACATGGCGGCCTGTTCGTGGTCAGCGACGACCTTCAACAGGTCCCTCTTCAGCTCGACGCCAGAGTCTGGCTCGGGTTCCTGTACAGCATGCACAGACACTTGCGTGTCTGACGAGACCTGATCCACCACATTCACAGAGTCCGACATCGTTACTAGATACCCGAATTACCGCAACCTATTTCAACATATAATTTAAAATGTTTTTGGCAACCATTAAAAAAGTTTCTGCACAAATTATTGCTAACTTTTTAAAAGAAAAACGTGCAATAATCTATGCTAGAAACGCAATTTCATGTAAGTAGAATCATTATAAATTTTAAATATCGAATGCCAAAAACAATTTAAATTAGAAATTAACACTCGCGATTTTGATGTATTTACAATTTTATTTTTAAATATAATAAACGCACTGTTTTTCCCGGATTTAGTGTTAAAATGTTAATAAAACTAATTATTTTGAAATTATATTTTATTTAGTATATATATCCTTACAAGAATCCGATGCCAAGTGGACGATCGTCGGCGACTTATCAGATATAAAAAATAATCCTTTTATCATATCAAGCGAAGTTAATTGTTTCAATCAATAAGTAGGTAATATACAGTCACATTCCTGCTAAGTACCTATGTGTTGCGATAATAGTGTGATAACATGTCGTTTGGAACATTTTAAATTTTATGAAATATTTAAATTCATATTTAATCTTGTATTTTGTAAACGTATAAGTAAATAATTCCGGAATTACGTTAAGCCGAATACTAAAACTGATATGAATATATTTTTAAAATAAATGTAAGTTTAAAAAAAGAATTATCAGCCTCAGCCTGGAGCAGGAGAAGGAACGGGTTGGATTTTTGTTAGAGTCTGACACTCTCGCGCGGGAGAAGTCATTTGATGATTTCCTCCCTCAAAAAAGGTACATCTCACCTCTGTCTTCTATCTTGCTTCTCTTCCTTTCCCATATACAATTTAAGGCAGAAATACATAGGTTGTGAGTACATGGGAACTTTTTTTTATTTCATAATTTTTAAATCTTCTATTTATTCATTGAAACTTTAAGCAATGATTACCGGTCAATTTACGAAAAGTCAGCCGCTACTATCAGACTCCCTTCGTATAAGAATGTACATATGTTTATCTGATCTGACAGTTCTGACACTCAGTCGGGCACAATCCATTTCATACAGCTAACTGTTACCTTGTTTTTGAAGGGGGAAATGTCAAATTCAAAGTATTTATTAAAACAACCATAGCGTTGTGTTTCGCCACGTGAGTGTGGTTAGCTGAGGCCCATCCCTCGCTCTCTCCCCATCCCTTCCCAATCCTTTAATGTGCGGAACGCTAATCCCCAAAAAGGAAGGCACGCACAACTCCTTTGGTGTTGCGGGTGTCCATGGGATCCGATTGCTTACAGTCACTTGATTGTAAGTCGACGGGTTACCAAAACCGTCAGCTCGTTTGCCGACCTATCCCATAAAAAATAAATGTCCATTCCCGCTCTGGATAGAGGCAGGCTCTTAAAGACTAACTATATCACCCTGTTCTTCTCCTGCTTCCCTATACTTACCTATACTAATTTACTTAGTTAAAGAATTTTTTATTTCGATCCTTTTGTGATGAGTTTTTTATAGAACTAGCTACTCTCGCGCGGTTTCACCCTCTGCTCGGCTCCTACAGATCGTAGCGAGATGTTTTATAGCCTAAAGCCTTCCTCAATAAAAGGTCTATTGAACACAAAAATAATTATTTAATTCAAACCAGTAGTTCCTGAGATTCCTGAGCCAAACAAACTTTTCAGCTTTATAATATTAGTATAGATGATTCTGCCATCAAACAAATGTATGCGTTGGTAAAAAGTTCTGAGAAAAAGAGGCTCAGCATCATAAATCGCCATCAACAAACTTGCATTATGCTGATGCATCATGAAGCTCATCTAGGGATACCTATGTGTGTTTATGGACAATGTTGGTGGCTAACCATCGGGTGATTCAGCGGCTCGATTGATCCTTTATTATGTTATGGGTTGAAGTTTTTACGGCTTGTTAACGTAGGGCTTGCAAAAGATTAATATTTAACACTGAGACCAGGACAAGGCATACCTTAGGGTTATTTGCCTCGTGGTATTGTATAATGTATGTCATTGATTACGTATTATCTTGAAGAGCTATGTAGCCCTTCAGTTTCGATGGCTATTATGATTATTATGTTGACTAACGTCGATGGTATTTAAACTCCGGAAGCAATATCTATCAGCTGATTAAACTTTTAGCCCTTTTTGTCGTTGTACGTTAGTTAAATAAAAATATTTATTAATATTATCAGTTAGTGCGTAAATAGCAATTGAAAATATATAAAGTATAAAAATGATTATTCGAATAGCATACTTTATTGCAGTTTACTATGATAATAATTTCTGAAAGCAACGCCATCTGTTACTAAATACAGGAACTACAATGACTCCTAGGACATTTTATTTATACTATGGCTGCCTACACAGACTTTAGTATCTCTATTCGTCAACAGATGGCGCCGGTAGGTAGAAAAAGCTAAAGAAAGTTAAAAATATTGCGATTACTAAGTTTTTCTAAATTATGCAGTATCTTACATAATACTTTTTATTTCTGGATGTTTTGTTTGGAAGAAACGGAAGTCTAACCTTTGTGAGGGGAAAATAATCAAATGAATTCTCCCGCTCAGGGTGGGGCGAGAGAGATCAGACTCTTACTGACTAAACCCCCGTTCCTTATCCTGGTGTAGGCTGAAGCCGCGGTGCCTTATTGCGCTTGCCCCGCAACCCCGACTAAAATCTAACCCTTGACATGTCCTTTACCTGTAGAATTTGCAATTATGCTAGTTGACTACTAGGAAATGATAAGTAGTAGGTAATTTTCGTTTGGCTTCTTTGTCTTGTTGACCGAGCAACTTTTGATCCAAATGTTATTGTTGATTACGGTTGCTGATTATGGCTGACTGTTGTTTATGGTTTTTGGAACTACTTAGGTAGGTACTAGTAGTGCCCACTCTGTAATAGTGTCCTGTGCCACATAGCCTCGTACCTACTCCATCTTCTATTTCTTAACAGAGTCTTTTTTTTAATATTTGCCATGCTCTGACACGAATGGGTGGACTCGACCGGAGTGATACCACAGCCTTACAGGAAACTAGCCTGAAACAACCACAGCGTTGTGTTTCGCCGTGTGAGTGAGGTTACCGAAGGCCCAATCCTTCCCCTCCCCCGATCCCTCCCCAATCCCTTAATCTCCAAAACCCTAATCCCTAAGAGGTCGGCAACGCACTCGTAACTTTTCCGTTGCGTGTGTCCATGGGCGGCGTTGATTGCTTACCATCAGATAATCCGTCTGCTCGTTTGCCGAACTATTACATAAAAAAAAGAAAAGCTTGTAACATATAACTGATAAAAATATAATAAGTTTGACCGCAACTAGTAGACGTGCACTTCGCATACAGGTCGGGATAAAATGTAAATAATGATCATTTATCTTCCTAAAATTACACAGTAAAACAAAACCCACAATAAAAATACTTTATTACTTCAAACTTTATCAATACTTATATTAATTACCAACTAATTGTGGGAATTCACGCTAACGCTGACATTATCGCTTAAGCTATCACTAATGCTTACGCTTACGCTAACGTCAGAGTTGTGTCAGGCCGTAGGTCAGTGTCAGAGTGCGACAACCTGACACAAGGGAGATTGATGACACGTCGTGGAAAATGCTTTGTGAGGGTTCCAAGGTTGACTTAATTGGGAATCTTGATGGTTACATAATGATACATCGAACTTTGTTTGTAAATCATTAATTTTGGTTGTTATTTAGAATTGATTTGACAGGCAGAGGAAGCGAGTTATTATAAGCTACATTCAGGTGCCATGGCACAGATGATACCTGTTTGTCGATAAAGACATGACAAGATATGAAAGATAGGGTTGGTTGTCACAATGGCTTATTTGTAGCTATCGATTCACCAATCAGGAGCAAAGAATCGACGCCCATATTGAACAATGTTCGTATTTCAATCGTAAAATTGTCAATTACAACTTCTGCGACAACAATCCCCATTCTCCCGTATCTAAATCAAAAAATGAAAATACTGGACATAAAAAACAATAAGTCCAAATATGTATTACTAAATTACAATATTTTTCCTCGACGAACACAATAAAAAAAGAACAGTCATCTCTCAACCACACTTTAAATCTTAAGTCAACCATGAAATGTAAAAAAAAGACGCTTCAAAATCTAAGATGGCTGCTTTGTTGTCTCATTAGTCTTCACAGTAACCTGTTCATCATCTCTTTGGAACAGGTAGCTGGTGGCTGGAGTCGTGCTGCTGCTCTGGACGTAGCCTTGCTGATAGCCTGTCTGGCCATAACTAGCCGTTTGCCCATAGTTGGACGGCTGACGGCTCGACGGCTCGTAGCTGTTCTGACTGCGTTTAGAGTCCTGGTTGTAATTGTCACGGTTCTCCAGTTTTTTGACGCCACTGTGGATATAATTTTAATAATTAGAACAAACAAACACCAAAGCATTGCCTCTCCAACAATAATTATTACGTATAGCTATGATGCCTTGATTATTAGATAGAACATGAACGAAACACTAGCCAAAGTCTAGGGACATATTATTTAATGCACGCATGTAACATCCTTATTACTAGGCACATTTAGAGTTCAAAATATCTATGAGCTATACACACCTCTCATCTCGATAAGGTCTTCTTTCTCCTACACTGTGCCATCCACTGCCACCTTGTCCGTACCCCGCGAAGCTGGCTCCATAAGCAGCTGCATTCTGTCCATAGCCACTCTGGCCATAACCAGCACCCTGACCGTAGCTGGCGCCCTGACCATAGCCTTGACTGTATCCGGTTGAAACTTGTGCGTATGGATCGCGGTACGTGCCACTGTAACCTCCTGAATAGCCTCCTATACTTTGATAGGCGTCTTGGGGTCTAGAAATGAGAAAAGGAATTGGTTAAATTATTTATTTTTGGAACTAAGATAATGGCATAGGTATTGTAACCAAATGCTATAGAATAGATTAGATCCGCCCCCCCCCCCCCAATCCCGAAATCTACAAAACCCTAATCCCCAAAAGGTCAGCAACGCACTCGTGGCTTATCCGTTGTTCCGCTTGTCCATGGGCGGCGTTGATTGTTTTCTATCAGGTAATCCGTATACTCGTTTGCCGATCTATTACGAAAAAAATAAGAATTTTATTCTAACTTCATGTAAAATAAGGTTTTGTAAAAACAAGTTTACCTTTCTTTGTAATTTAATTTTTGTAATTTTTGTAGTTTGGCAAACGAGCGGACGGATTACCTCACGGTAAGCATTTTACGCCGCCCATGGGGATACTCGCAACAACATAGGATTTACGAAATCGTTGCCGACCTTTTGGGGATTAGGAATTCGGGGAGCCCAATGATTGGGCCCCGGTAACCTCACTCACATGGCGAAACACAACGTGTGGTTTTTCACGCTGGTTTCCTGTGAGGCCGTGGTATCTATCACTTCGGAAAACCCGATCCATGGCTCTGCCACACTTGTACTTCTCTTTATTTTTCTGTATTTTACCTAGAATATTCAGGTCGTCCCCAGCCAGCAGCGGGCGCTGCATCAGGCCTGCCTGACGCGAAATAGTAGCCTCTACCTCCTGCATCCCATCCCGCCTGACCACGGTAAGTCTCGTCCCACGGCCTGAAACTAACAAAGATTCGAACTTTATCATAGAAATCGTAAATAACCTTTTTTGGAGCGGGGAAAGACTTCAAAAGGCTTCTTCTGCTCTGGGTAGGACGAAAGGCAAAGTCTGACCCATATTGACTGAAAACCACCCTGTTCTATTTCCTACTTCAAGCTAAAGCCGCGGTACATCAAGGTGCTTTCACCCGCAACCCCGGTTGATAGAAATCGCAGCCTCAATATTGGGAAGAACCATCGTTAGATCAGAGGCTAATCTGGTAGGTCTGATCACCGTACAAGTTAATGGTTTTAAGGGGATCTAGAAAAACACGTAAAGCATGATAATCTCATAGACATATTTTTACGTAGGTACTTATGAAGTAAAAAGAAAACGGGCTTATAAAACTAATTACAACAAAATATAAAACAAAGTCGCTTTATCTGCCCCTATATCCTTACGTATGCTTAAATCTTTAAAACTAAGTATACTATGGATTTTGATGCAGTATTTTTAAGAGATGGATAGAGAGATAGATAGACAGAAGGTTTATATGTGTACTATCATAAAATAGTGGACAAATTTTGTATTGGCATTGCGTCCGTGCGAAGCCGGGGCGTGTCGTTAGTTCTATTAAAACAGTGAGGTGTTTGATCTCAGTTCATAAATCAAACATAAAGGAAACAAACGGTCGGTAACCGTCAACCCGTGACCAACGAGCAGTTATACAAAATGGTGGCAGAAAAAATACAAACACCGTTTTGTGAATTAAGAATAGACGCGCACAGCGATAATTCAATGACTAAAAAATATTATTCAATCGTTTCTTCGACCGCAGTACTAGAGTAAAAAGTGGACATAAGCATATATCTAATATGTATTTAGAATTTCATTCGGATCAGATCAGTTGTTTTCACGTGAAAATGAACAGACAGACAGACACATAATGGATGCGAAAGTTTGTACGGACTTACAAACAATCACGTTTATAATATTATACAAAAACTAGCTACTGTCGCACGGCTTCATCCGTCTTCATGCTCCTATTTGGTCGTAGGGTGATATTTTATAGCCTATAGCACTCAGGAACATGGTAGCTATCTATCAGTGAAAGATTTTTGGCAATGCGACTAATAGTTCCAAAGATTGCCCCTTACATATCATCAAACTTACAAATTCTTCACATTAATTAAATTTTTATTACTACTGTTTTATATACTTTTATATGTACTTGTTTATGCACTCTTTTTAAAACGCATATGCATTATTGCCATATTGCATGAGCATATGTAGTTGACAAGACAATGCATCGCTTTATGGGACGGTCGTTCAGATACAAATCGTGATCGTTATCAGTTTCGGAGCCATTTTCAGAGCCATAAATAATTACCTTTTTTTCAAAATAACAAAATTAAATATAAAAGTGCGCACTATTGAACTATTTTTATCAAGTACAATATGAAATAGTGGTATGAGCAGGAAAGGAAACATGTACTCATTTTGGTCCATCGCATCGATAAAATGTTAATCACAATCATACACATCACACATCAACATTAATAAATGCCTAATGGTGAGCAAATATTCTATTTACTCGAAAAAAGATAATGGGGTCTTAATAAACTGGAGATAAAATAAAACTAAGTTATACGTCGTGGTTGTCCGGAGGTTAAGGCACCCGCTTGTCATGCATGAAAGTGCGGGTTCTGTGTGAAAGACTTTTTCTAAGTTATACCTATGTACTTTCCACTTTAATTTAGACACTACTGGTGATATTTGCTATCACCAATCCCCCTTGAGCAGCCGTAGTGATTAATGCTCAAACCTTTTACATGTGAGAACAGACCTTTGCTCAGCAGTGAACACTTACATGCTTACCGGCTGATGATGAAGATGAAATAAACTTAAAAAGTATACAAAGCTCAGAAAAATCACATTTCTAGCTACTTACTTGCCAGGTGTAGAGTTCACACCCTCATGCATGAACAGTGCTCCACTATTATGACATTAATACAATAAAAATATCAAATTTATTGATCCTTTATTACATTAAAAGCAAGAAGTGCTTACATAGCGAATAAAAGTTTAAGAGAAGAAAACCTTTCATGAAAAACGCAGTCCCGTGTGTGTCTACTCTTAATTAAATTCCTTTAGCAAGAACGTGAACCTACAATGTAGGTATCATCTGCCAGAGGTAACAGTATTCGTGTACTGTTAATCAAGAGCCCGCGAAACATTTGATTGTCTTGCAAATAAGATAATTGTATGGAATTATATACATCCCGAGATTATCTGTCGGAGAACTTACGGTATTTGCGTTTCTAGGTTACTACAATTGTAAGTTATAATGTAACTTTAATGCGTGAGAAGTTAGTTGACTTTTTGTTACTCATGTGTCAAGAGGCACTTAACGAGGTGTGAGAGAATGAGCTAAGTAGATCCTTATTAGTACGAATATTATAAACGCGAGAAATTGTAAAAATGGATTGGTGGATTGTTACTCTTTCACGAAAAGTATTGAATAGTCTTTGATGAAAATTGGCATAGAGATAGGTTCTTGAATAACACATGGACGGCAATGTTTTATCTAGCTAGTTAGAAATATTTTTACTTGGTTGCTTTTAATTTTCGCATGCCTGACTGAAGGCGAGAAATGCTTTTTTTTATGTAATAGTTCGGCAAACGAGCAGACGGATTACCTGATGGTAAGCAATTAGCGCCGCCCATGGACACTCGCAACGGAGGAGTTACGAGTGCGTTGCCGACCTTTTAGGGATTAGGGATTTGGAGATTTAGGGATTGAGGAGGGATTGGGGAAGGGGAAGGATTGGGCCTCCGGTAACCTTACTCACACGGCGAAACACAACGCAGTGGTTATTTCACGCCGGTTTTCTGTGAGGCCGTGGTATCACTCCGGTCGAGCCGACCCATTCGTGCCGAAGCATGGCTCTCCCTCACTTAAAAACTTATTTTGTGTCGTCATCTTTTGTATTTAGGTACCATATTTGTAAATGAATGTTTTCATTTCAATACAATTAGTAATGGGCATTTAGGTACCTTTGTACAAAATACTAAGCACTAACTATATCAAAATTAGGGTTAATTATGTACTAATGCCAAACAGCCCAAAATCAAACAAAAGGGCTCGGAAACCTAACCAGTACTTAAACAAGTTAAAATATGTAATCGCAGAGTTCAATAAAACAACAATGGCTGCCCACAATGGCGGGAAAACAAGCTAACCTATGCAATTTTACCGTTACATTCCATAATTCGTATTGCCATTTTGAATTTTAGGTGAAAGCGTCATGTATCGATGTGTTTGACATTATTTCAATGAATAATACACATTGTGCTGTTTGTATTGTGTGAATGAACTCTTCAATGGTTAATTTTATGGTCTACTTCTAATCGGACACGTAAAGTGATTATCAACGGCTCGCGTTGTACATAACAGTAGTCGGTGATTAATAGCGTATACATTACACATCCCTACTCGTTGATAATTTGGTACAGGTACTATAAGTAAGTACCTACTTGTTTTATTTTACTATTAAAATGTTTACCTGTGTAGTTACATTCATTCAATTTCTTTAAACGTTGGCCTACGCCCACACACTGGATTTTTTCCTGCATCGTTCGTGCATTTTCAAACAATACAATTTTACAAACACATAACATCCTGACTCGGACGAACAATTTTTGGATCACACAAAAAATTGTCTGGTGCGGGAATCAATCCGTACAAAACAGCACGTTGCACAGTAGCCATTGCGTCAAACATAACATGTATAATCTCTTATACATAAAAATTTTAAAGTGTCACTTGAACTAACGCCTAATCTTATGTAGATTAGGCGTTAGTTCAAAGTTCAAAGAAAGCACTAAATTAAAAGATTAAAGATGCAGATATAAGTACTCATTTATGCATTAGGTCGACTATCACTATTATTAATTTAGTTGACCCGACACAAAATAACCGGCATGTATACATATAAGCATGTAGATGTGTCTTATGTTGCGTGTATAAAATTACCAGGGTTGATAATGTACCGCGGCCTCGGCCGGTAGAAGAACAGTAGAAGGAACAGGGTAGTTTTTAGTCAGTGAGATATAAGACTTTTGATGATATACCCTTACAAAATAAAAACAATGTCATATTGGCTTACCTATCATGAGCTCCTCTGCCCGCACTTGGTCCATATCCACCGTACCCGTCATCATAGCCTCTGTCGTCGTACACTGGTCTTCTAACACCTGCGTATCCATAGGGATCGTATCTACTCAACCCATCATCATAACTAGGATAATATCTATCGTAAGTCGGTCGTCTACCTCTGTAGTCGTCATAATAATCTCTTTCTCTATAAGGATCCCTTAGGAATCTGTCGTAATAATCTGGTCTATATCTATCCCTGTCATCGTATCTGTCTCCACCTCGTCTCCTATCGCGGTCTCTGTCTCGCCCACGGTCTCGATCTCTATCCCTATCGCTTCCTCGCCGACTGCCGCTTGGTCTGCTATCTTTATCATCATAACCACTCTTGTTATCCCCGTTCTCTTCTTCCGTTCCGTTCTTTTGTCCATTCTTTCTATCGGAATATCTGTCTTCGTCGCTGTCGTAGTTCTTTTTACTGTCGTATCTGCTACCGTATGTCGGTTTGTGTCCGCGTCTGTCATCATTGTAGCGGTCTCGACGATCGTAATCATCGTCCCTGTCATCGCGATCGTCTCTACGGTCGTCGCATCTGCCGCATCGTGGTCTGTCATAATCCTGTCTCCCGTATTCTAGTCTGTCGTACAATGGTCTTGGTGCTCCATATCTATAGTCATAGTAACTTCTGCTTTGTCTTTTTAATTTTTCACTGTCGGTTGTGGGCGTTAAGACTTCCGATAGTACAGTTTCTTCTGCTGAGGTATACTGGAGACAAGTGAGAACGAAGGCGAATACCACCTGGAACAGAAGAGGACAGTTTTATTTTATTTTTCTTTTAAAATTTGTGTTTATATTTTTGTTAAAACATCTTTACTTTTCTAACCGAACAACGGAACGGTTCCTACTATATTTTTAACACAATTTTCATAAACTTCCGTATTAGATATACATGAACCTACCAGCTACCTATATCAAAAACAATGCATTCAACTCATTGACACTAAAAAAACGTAACAAAAAGCGAAACTACAACAAAAGAGGTTACAATTATAAATATGCATTACGTACTCATCAAGTATTATCATAACGATCAGTCAATATCACGGCACGTTAGCTATGTGAACGAATTGTTTCATCGTTTTTTGTCCAGCAGTTTCCGCGTCAACACGTCATTGTGAAAAAACAACGTAATTGTATTAATGTAAATATGATTCATGTAATTTGTCCGTCTAATCTTGAGATGTTTAATGAGTTATACTTATGAGTAGTGGAAAAAAATAGTTTCATTGTTATTTTTGAACTGTCGTTTGATTAACCTGTGACCAAGATCCGGTAGCCGACTTTGAAATTAGTTGGTTAAACCAGAAATAGACACGTGAATTTATTTTTGTGAATTCACGTAAAATCATTTTGCACTTTTCTGTTTTCTGATAGGAATTTTAGTGTTAACGCGTCGTGAGCATTTACTAGCAGGAGAAAAGACGAGCTGGTTTTTAGTTAGTAAAAGTCTGAAACCCCTCGCCGCACCCTGGATTCAGTCTCCATGAGAAAAGTCATTTGATGATTTTCCGACCTCAAAAAAAAAGTCTTAACGCGTCGTCGGAAAACATGAATAGTTCGGAATTGTTTACTTTCGGCACGATCTACGAACTCGTCTGGCAATAAGCTACGTCTTTTGTGAGGGAAATGACTTCTCCCGCCCAGGGTGAGGCGAAAGGGAGTGTCAGACTCGTACTGACTAAAAACTCTCGTTCTTTCTCCAGCTCTACGCTCGCTAAGGCCGCGGTTCCTTATTGCGCTTGCCCCGCAACCCTAGATGGACATCAGCCCTATAGGGCCCCCTTCTGTGGTGGTCAATTGACTCTTACGATAAGCTACTTACTGTGCATATCTAGCGTTCATGTTTTCAAATTAAATGCACAAAAATACTTGACTCTTCAAAATACCTACGAAAATATGTAGTTACCATAACCCAACCTAAAGTATACTTATCTAATTACAAACCAATTACCCAGTACTTATAAACATTACATGTACTTCAAAATATGCAAAAAAACACCATAAAATTGCCCTGAAACAGCCTATGACCTCTAAAAACAATGGTATGATCACACACAAAGAGAAAATGTACAGAAGTGAAGGCCACAACCTAATTTTGTATTGTTTCTGTGTAATTTAGTACAGGAAGATCACTGAGTATGTTATGATATGTTGTAATTTGTTACGTGTGAATATTTTACTTTAATCATCATCATCATCAGCCTATAAGTGGCCACTAGTGAACAAAACCCACTTTTCGAACGGAGAAGGCGTTAATCACCACGCTCGCTCAAAGCGGATCAGCGATTTGAAACTATACAGATTAAAAGTTGAGAGTTTTCACGATAGTTTTGTTCACGTTTGTCAGCGGCACAAACAAGTCGAAAATATCCCTTTGGTTGGTACTTGCCATCAGGTTTCGAATCATTTTGCATAAAAAGCGAGCGCCCTATACCTCCAGGTTATTATGACATTTTATGCTTCGATTTTTATAGTGACTAAGAAAAAATAACAATCAAATATATTTGGTATCTAAAATGATAGATTGAGAAACGTAATTGCGCCTTTTGGATTAATATTTAGTGCTGCGGAAACAACTCATGGTAGGAAAAATATTATTTATATTGTCCATGTTAATACACTCATGCAAAATGAAACCACGAATGTGATATTTCCCATCAATATAACTAAAATTAACGATGAACTAACTATCGTTTTTCAAATAAAAGTTAAGAATGCTGATGATACTGAATATGATTTTGATTAATTATAGGTACTAGGTATGTCACAGCTTAGAAGCAATCTAATAAAAAATAATGCTGTCAATAAATTAATAATAAGTTTTAATACAATTTTAAGGCTTTTCGGAGAATCGTCCTTATGTCGAAACTAGGAATTAAAAATTAAAATATCGTTGGCAGTCTACGATTCTGCTGATAAACAGACGAGAAAAATAATATTCATTAAATAATTAACTGCTTGTAGGTAGATTTTACGTGTTTTACGAAGAGTTTTTAAGAAAATTCGTAAATTTTTCCTTATCAGGCCTCTCAAACTGGATCAATGAGGAAGTTATTCTAATAAAACATGTTTTCTATTTGAAATCTTATTCTTTACGCGTTATTTTATTTTAATAAGTGTATTTTGTTGTAATTCTGGATAATTATGTAGGTAGGTACATAGTTTTATTTTATTTGGAGCTTCGTTTAGGTATACTGTGTGTTTTTGTAATTTTTTTGCAAGTGCTTTCAGAACTTTTTTTTTTAAAGAATGATCCATTGAATTGATTAATGCTATGGTTGTGATGTATAAGTATGTTGTAGGTACACATTAACAATTTATCGTACACATAAAGAAATATTAAGAAAAATAAATAAATTCAACATAAATTTACGTCTATATAGGTACTTAAATGTTTGTAAGAAAATAAGTCTAAGATTTATCCGATACGAGAATAAGCTAGTGTCACCCAAGGAGTAAGAACAATACTCCGTGGTGTCACCGCATTAAGCTTTCGGCTACAGTGATTGGACAATAAGCATCTTGATAGATTGGCGCCAAAAAAGGTAGCAACCATAGTCAAGAAATTCGTCTACTATAAACGCGTTCATTTTAACCTTTCGTTGCCGGGAAAAATATGTACGCCGATCCATATACTGATAGCAAAGTCACAATGTCTTATTTGACCACAGAAATGTGCTCAAGCCGTGAGAAATAGGACTTATAGTAACTGACATAACACAAACAAATTTATACAAATTAGACAGAGAGCTAACTTGCATTGTTTAGTGGACACACATCCGACTGTTTAATCGGTATATAATTGTGTGGCCCTGGGCCAATGGAGACAAAAGATTACCTCTGTGCGACCACGAATTATGACGATATGAATTTACGCGCGTAAACTTGTAGTTAGGTACAAAATAATTTTTAATGGAGATTGGATTTTGTGCTGCATGTTTCATGACTAATGATTGTAGATACTTGTTATGCCAACACTTGTGATAGATCGTAACCGTCAAAAAATGTAGCGACAACAAGACTTAAACTTTATCTTTCTAACAGAAACTTTAACAGTTGAGTTAGATTTAAAATTAAATATCGATAAGTAATAATTTTTTGGAACACTGTAATCACTTTTTTTCAACTCCTGGAAAAATCTGGTTCTACAAACAAACTAGGTACAAACTCCATTCATATCATAAATACCAATGTTTTGTTATAAGGTCGATAAGATGACACATTTCCTGAGGGCAGAACTCATATGCTTAATTACTAATATCTCTAGGCGCATTTCAGATAATTATTACGTGCAGTCTGTTTTAAAGTTGCATTTTTAAGCCTTTGACTGCCGATAGAAAACTGTTGAAGGCAAATCCTCCGCTAACGGAGGTCATCTTTTACCCCCATGGCGCTTAACGTGTTAAGCCAAGTCAGCCAAGTTTTTGGTATTTTGTAATAGAATTGGCAATGAAACTGTTGTAATGGGTATAAATCCTCAATAATTATAAGTACCGTAGCATCAAAGGCTTACTAAGTAAACATAAACTTACTGATAAAGGTTCATCATGTTAACTCTTTCGATATTTTCCCTTTTTATTTCCTGCCCTCCATTCCCTTATCGCTAGTGCCTCTTCTTTCATATTACGTTTTTTTTCCTTTTTTGTCTCGAAAAAGAATACATAATTTAAATTTTGACCAACCAATGATATCATGGCTCAAGTTCCTATATCCACCATATGAATATGTATTTAAACCTATGTCTATTCGTGCTATGAACCTTCTCGTTGGCTAGCAGTTCTGAAGACATCTCGGTCATTGAATTATCGACATAGAAATAGGAATAGGAATACAATAACAATACAGTACAGTTAGAATATTTATTACAAGCTGTTAATTTTACGAGTACAATCCCGTCTCTGTTATTATTGGTTATAACGGATTACCCTTAACTACATTCATACCCTATTGTCTTACTTTTATGTAATAATAATATTCAATTTTTAATTTCAAAATATTACTTAGGTCATACGATTCTACTTGATGAAAAGCGGTCAGTCAAACTTGCTCATAAGTCATAATATGTAACTTTACGATTTATGACGACGAGCTTTTGGCCGCGACTTTGTTCGCGTGAAATAGTGACTTCCTGCAGATTAAAGATTAACCTATTGATTTAAAAACTATCCTCGTCCTTTCTAGAGTTCTAAACGATGTCTGTACCAAATTTCACACAAATATTATCAGTAGTTAAGGCGTGAAGAAAATACAGACAGACAACAGACTGAGTTACTTTCGCATTTATAATATTACGAACTGCTCACTAGATCTCGTTCGAACCAATTTTCTGTAAAAGTGATGTCAAGCATATATTTCGTTTTTGTGTTCTCACTCTCTTATTTTAGGAGTTTTAGAGGAAGTGTCTCCCTCGCAAAATATATATTTTGAAACCTCAATATTAATATTGAAGACCTGCATATCTATGACTAGATACCTATTAAACACAGATTATGGGTAGGATGGCGTGATAAGAAATGTAAAGCTCCCAATAATGATATTTTTTTTCTTATTTTTGTTTGAAAATCGTAATGCAGAATACACCTTAGTCGCGGTATATGTATTCTGCGAATCGCACGAGTAACAAAGTTTCAAATTCGTCAGTAACTACCTGCAATTGTTATAGTTTCAGAAAAAAGATATTGCTGTAGTTGTGGCACACGGACGGGCTAACGGGTATGAAAAGGGTTCCGTTTTTTTGCCATTTAGCTACAGAACTCTTAAAACTAGACAATTAAAGCATATTAAGAAACTTAAATTCCTCGTAAAATGGTTAACAAGTAAGTCTTTTTTAAAATTTTATTCGATTTGTTTACGAGTAAAATCATTAAAAGACCATATTTATATAGTCGAATCGCATTTGTAATAACTTCAAACAGGTTTAAGGTTCAATCCAGACTTTACAAAAACAAAAAGGACACCGGAGAGCAGCGGTACAGTAAAAAGCTCATTAAGGTCTTTTCTTAAAGTTATAATTTTTTTTTTATTTTATTACATTGATATTACATGCTAGGTAATGTACTCACCAAAACTGCGATTCGTTCCATTTTTAATAAAAAAGAACCTTAACTAGAATATAAATATTTATAGTTCATTATTTCCAAAAAAGGCACACATAAACTTTCTATTCAAAAACCAAAAAGCAGGAAAATATTAAAAAAAATACATATTAAAAAAATTTTTCAACAAAAAAGGATTTAAACATTTTCGTCTCTATGCGCAGGTGGATGCGCGAGCGGGTTATGGCGGACTGGCTACAGCGCATGCGTCCCGCGCTTATAATAATTATGGCGATCGTTGGTTTTTTGTTTGCCCATCCGCCTAGGGTCTACTGGGTCGCATTGTGAAGGCTACTGTCCTCTCTATAACATATGTACCCTGAACCCATTAATCGAGAGTTTTTTGACTCCAATTTGCCAAAAAAGTCAAAAGCTTTTAAACCACTTTGTTTTCACTATGGCTTTTATTTTTTTTAGTTAATGTATATAGTATATAGGCATATCGTGAGACCTATATGACCATTTAATGAAAATGAGATGGCTCAAAATAGTGAATCAATTAATTTTGGCTCTCTCTAAATCTCTTCAAATCTATATATTTTTAAATAAAATTCTTGTTGGGCATTTTTCTCTTTTTAGAGGTCGTGGTGGCCCCAAGGTTACGGCGCCCGCTTCTCAAGCATGAGCGTGTGGGGTCGAAACCTGGCAAGTAGGTACCAATGCGACTTTTTCCGAGTTATTATGTACTTTCTATGATTACTTAAACACCACTGACATACGATGAAGGTGAAAACATCGTGAAGAAACCTGGACTTATAATTTCTAATTCTAAGTTTGAAATCGCCAACCCGCATTGAGCAAGCGTGGTGATTAATGCTCAAACCTTCTCTGTGTTAGAAGAGGCCTGTACTCAGCAGTACTTATAAGTTGATGATGATGATTTTTCTCTTTTTGTGGATCAAAAAGAGAAAAATGCCCAACAAGAATTTTAGGTCCATTTGAAGGTCGTACCTATTTACCTACATGTCTTGGGCTGGAATAGGTATCTACAAAATGTGTTCCTTTATATTAATATAATTTTGCAAGCTGGCAATGTTTACAAATGGGTAATTGTTAATTAATTTTCGCAACAATTCGTTTAGAGGAAATTGCCTGTTTATTTATCCATTGTGTTTTTATTAGATCCAGTTAATAGTATCTGTTTGTTGCGCTGTAGCTATAACCTAAATTAAATCAAAAAGCTATGTTTTGTGCTTCCAAATAACCGAGAAAAAAAAATACGCTTTTATTTATTTGTGTTTTCGTTTACCTACATTAAGTATCACGATTCGTGTCGCGATTGGCTGCTGCACTTCGTATCTTAGCTTCGATTTCAGATATCTACCCAAAATACTTCATGGTTCTTTTACTCCACATAAGTTGTTTGTGTGATATACAAATAATTATTTTTCGAGGACAAAAAAAAGGTTTAGTTAAAAAAATATAAAGTTCAAAAAGTTCGCAGTTAAAATAGTTCACATACAGATAAGTGGGTCTATGGGTAGGTACCTACTTTACATAGTAAACGGAATGAATGAAATCATTATTCTCAATTCAAATTACGTCTCTCTCTAGGGCTTTAACAAGGCAGTCACGATACCACGTAATGTTTTTTTATTCCCCCTAATATTCGATTGTATAACGAAGGTCTCCACTCCATGAGGCTGCATCCAAAGGCCACATCCATGAGATAGCATCGTTACATGATTCCGAACAATATCACACACAACCTGAATACATGGCGCCCTGATATCTGTGCTTGTGTGTGTTTTACAGCCGCCATTATCAAATACAGACTAAAAAGTTTGACACCTCCTTTCATTAACACTGATTATGTAAATAAAAATCTATATTATTAGCTATTTTATTTTCGTAGTTCTATTGCGATTCATCATTCATGCAACAATGAAACAATGAATTTATTTTTGCAAACAGGCTATAAAACGGCACTTTTACACGTCAATTTATATGTGAAAAACTAGATGAAGCCGGCATTTCCTATCTGACTACTCTGAGAAGAAATGCCGAAACAAACTCAGAGGTCAGTCTCTTTTCAAGTCAAGTCATCATCATTTTACTACGTAGGTAGATGAAAACAGTCGCTTTCTCTGTCCCTATATCCCTCCTATACATGCTTAAATCTTTAAAACTACGTAACGGAATTTGTTGCGGTTTTTTTAATAGATTTAAAGTGATCGAAGGGGAAGGTTTTAAGTAGGTTTACCTATAATAAATTCCATAAAATAGTGCAGAAATTTTGTATTAGCATTGTACCCGTGCGAAGCCGTCGCTATATAGTCTGTAACAGACACAAATTATAATTGAAATCCTCGTACTGTCGAAGAACCGATGACCGCTGGAGTAAACGTGTTCTAGAGTGGAGACCACGTCTAGGCAAACGTAGTGTAGGGCGCCCTCCAGCTAGGTGGACTGACGACATCCGCAGGGTGGCTGGCAGTGGTTGGATGAGAAGAGCTGAACATCGAGCTCAGTGGCGTGCAATTGGGGAGGCCTATGTCCAGCAGTGGACGACAACAGGCTGATGATGATGATGATGATGATGATGTGACACTATATGCTTAAGTATGCATAACATGGTTCGGTGTCATTCACTTTTCATGACAAATACTTTACAGCTACTCAGGTTTACGGTAGAGAAGATATGGTCTACATGATTATCTTGAAGTTATGTCCAAAATTAAATAATAGCGGTCGACTCACTGTAATCTGCGCAACTTCTGAAGCAGGAAGGGGAAGTTCTATTGTTCAAAACTATTGGTGACGGTTTCCATTGCACTTTGTTTTATTTAGAACCATCAGTCATTTTGTTTAGTTTAAAAAAAGAACTCACTTTATAGTTTTGCTTGAAAAGTTTAGTTGACGAAATTTTAACATGAAAAATGTTTTTGAAGCTTTATAATGCATTTAGTAATTTATTTTGCTGAATCAGCCTAGAAGTCAGAAAACGTCTACCTATTCATAAATAATAAAATACTAACGAAACATCGAAAAGCGAAAAAGGAAGTGAGCGGGCCGTCCAAGATAACATAGAGACGCTTTTTCTTTTTATACGTAAGTTAAGGTTGTGTTTGAAACTCACAATCAACCTTTTCCAACAGCCGCATGGCTAAATTATTCTGACTTATCAATTTTAGATGTTTTCTTGCAAATATTTCACAAATAAGTATTTTTTATATTTGACCATTATGGCTTCATTAGTTGCAATGTCACACAAAATTCACAGAAGAGTGTTGTTTTTGACATTTAAAAATATTGACAAGAGCAGTAAAAAAGTTTAATTTATTGCCTATTTGTGAAGTACCTAACGGATTATTTTTCTTTAGAAAGCAATTACATATATAACTGGATATGTATTTATTAAAATTTTCAATATAATTTACAGTTATATAAAAACAAAATGTTTTCTCTAAAAAGTAAAAATAACCGTGTACCAATGGAAACAAACTAATTAAAACAAGTAAATCAAAAAGCGTCGGGCACCGAACCGCGACTGACACGTCATTGTGCAGTGCCAACCAACGAACCGTGCCACTACGCTACGGGTTCTATCAAATCACATCAAAAATATATTATAATACTGATGAAAATAGCATTTGTAGTTACTGGAGGCCCAATCCTTCACCAACCCTCCAATCCCTAGGAAATGCCAGCAGCACACGTTAACTGCTCGGATGTTGCAGGTGTCCATGGGCAGCAATGATTGCTTACCACCAGGTAATAAGTCGGCTCATTTGAGGTTCTATCCAAAATCGAATGAACTGAAAATAAATCATTTACTTAAGACCTATAATAAATAGTTAATTACAGTAAGTCATTCGGCATTTTAGCCATAGTATCTATGATGATTGCCTAAAAGAGCCACGTCAGATGTGGGCCCGATAGGGTTGATATTCAGCTGGAGTTGCGGGTGTAAAAACAATAATGTATCGGCGCCCCTGTTAGAGCAGGATACAGAACAGGTTGGTTGGGTGGTTATATCATCTTTGGTTGGTTGGTACCAAGTAGAATGTTGGTACGCACTCCCTCTCAACCCACCCAGGCGGTAAGGTGATGATTTTCCCCTTAAAAAAGCCGTACTTCTTAAGTGGAATCCAATAAAAAAAATGATGTTTATTATTAGATTAATTTAACATTATTTTGACTTCGGAACATCGATTGAAAATTTTACAGTAGGTACCTACTTAGGGCTCATTTTTCAATCGTCAGATAAATGTTATCTGAGGAATAAAATTGTTGCTATCACTGTCTTATAAAAACATTTTTACGCGACAGCATCATAATTATTTCCAGAAGTGTGGGAGAGCCAAGCTTCGGCACGAATGGGTCGGCTCGACCGGAGTGATACCACTGCCTCACAGAATACCGGCGTGAAACAACCTACAGCCTTGTGTTTCACCGTGTGAGTGAGGTTACCGGAGGCCCAATCCCTCCCCTTCCCCTATCTCTTCCCAATCCTTATATCCGCAACCCCCATCCCCAAAAGGCCGGCAACGCACTCGTAACTCCTTTGGTGTTGCGGGTGTCCATGGGCGGCGCCGATTGCTTACCATCAGGTAATCCGTCTGCTCGTTTGCCGACGTATATCATTAAAAAAAAAATATCTTACCATTGAAAAACCAGCCCTTAGTGTGTTATTGAACAATAACAAAGGTACTTATTCATTTATGTCAATCAGAAGTCTAGCTACAGCATTTTAAATTGATTGTTTATCAATGTTAGGTAACTCATTGTGCCTATTGTCTCACAGTATTGATGCATGCACACAGATAACCTTAAAATTGTTAAAAAACACGCATGAAAACAGTTGCATAATGAAACCAAAGAAGTACCTAAGTACTTGCATAGAGAGAAAAAATATTTACGGGCGATACGTTCGAAAAAAATGTGCCATAACCGCGGTTTCTGGAAAAAAGATCGAAGGTAAAGGTTCGAAGTTAACTAGTAAAAATATCGAAAGAAACCACTTTCAGTTTCTTTCACTTACTCCCTTTCA